TGATGTATGTTCTGGGCTGCATTGCAATATTGATTGTTCGGATCATTGGTATCTAAGTTTTCCGCTGCGCTATCTTGTACTTTGTTAGAGAGGTCGATTCTTGTTCTGGTCTGCACCGTTACAGTATGCAACAGGCAGGTTGTCGTTAAAGATCCACCCCACGTACTGGTTGCTTCTCACATACAAGAAGCCTGGTTCGTCCTCTACTTTCACTAGACTTGTCTGTCTGAGTACCCTTGGTTTAGCTATCTCCAAGTTTTTCGAGCAGCTGGGGTCTGTTCCCATGTGCCCTCTCTTCCTGCACTTGAAGCACAGTGGATTGCTTTTGCTGGTTACAGTCACCTTGATTGTTCTGTCTCTCATGATGAAGAATCAGTAGTCAGGCATTTGTGGGGGGATGTCGTTGCCTAAGTCCAGGCAGACTGTCATTGTATTGTGTTGTGGCACCAAAAAGTCTGGCGTCGGGATTATCCATTCCACAATTTTCAGATGGCCATACTCCACTTGCAAGCGTTCTTTTATTCCTCCGTGCAGTACCTCGTGTACGTTGTCGAATTGTACCCAGAAGTACTTTTTCATCAGTTCTTGTTTGTAGCGCGAGGGTGTCATTTGGAAGGGGGTGTCTGGTTTCCACGGGTGCACCGTGACTACTGAGGAGTTGCAGGTGAAAGTCTTGTTCCTCAGGAAGTCTGCGTAGGTCGGGTCCTTGCAAATTACCTTTATTACGTTTCTTGTTCGTGGGTGGAATGATACTTTTGGTTCCGTTACTTGCACTGATTCCAGACTTTTGAGTTTTTCCCACATCCATTTGAGCTTTGCTGGGCGATTCAACTCTTGGCTTTTCCTGGAAAAGGTAAACAGCACTGCGCGTTTTTCGTGAAACTCGTCTAGTTTCGGAATCTGCTCCTTTGGGTACTCGTATACTATGACTTCTTCCTTCCTGTGATCTTCGACCTCGATCAGTTTCACACTCCTCACCAGTTGTGTTTTGGTCTGTTACGCTAGCCAGTTTTGTGTTTCGATTCCCATTCCCTCCATTTCGTTCCTTGAAGCTCTGCCTCTTGTCCTTTACCCCTGTCTGACTGACTTCGACTTTTGCCCCGTTATTTAGGATGTTGTTGCCATTCTTGGTGAAATGTCTCTTCCTTGGTTTGCGTTGGGCTGTTCTGTCTTCGTTGCCTTATCTCCTTTTGTGCCTGCGCTCGGGTGTGTACAATCGATTTAGGCAAGTAATGAATAAAGAATAAGAGAATAAAGAATAAATGAATAAATAGTTGAGTGAATAAATTAGCCAGTGAGTTACTGAGAAGGGTGTCTAGAAAATCCCTCCTTTGAGGTCCTAATCTTTTCGATGATAGCTGTGGGTATGATGGTTCGCGTCGGGCCGCTTGATTAAGGGAATCTGTGCTTCTTGAGAAGTCGAAGTCGATTCCTGGCCTTTGACGAGTTTCAGCAAAATTTTCTGAGAGAGCTTCGCTTCCCCACTTGGGGAACGTAAAGATCGATCCAAAGTTGCAAAAGGAACTGTGAGGATTAATTGAGCACTAGATCGAGATACCCGGCAGCTGAGCTTTACCTCCCCCCACGGGGAACGTGAATTCTGCTCGCGAGTGGAGCCAGGGTGCTGGGGTGTTGAAGGGAGGGCGGGKGGGTCTGGTGGGAAAGCGTAAGAGGGGGTTGTGGGGTTAGGTTGGGAGTCAGGGTGAGGCGTTGGGATG